GGGTGTGGGTCGTTAACGTTTGGGTTTGTTTTCTTTTGGCATTTTAGCAAAAGGAGAGAAAATCTAAAAAGTCGACCTGGAAGTTTTGCCTTGATTTGACTCATCCCGTGGAAGATGGAATCTTCGATTCTGGGAATTTTGTAAGTCGCGGGTTTGCTTATGCTCCTGGTGTTCAGTGCAATATGAACTTTAGTTAGCGAATCATAAAATCCGAATGCTTTAGGTTGGAAGAGGCACCTCGGAAGCTCATTAGTCCAACCCCTTGCAGGGAGCAGGGACAGCTTCAGCTGGAGCGGGTTGCTCGGAGACCCGTCCAACCTGCCCTGGAACGTCTCCAGGGGTGGGGCCTCCACCAGCTCTCTGAGCAGCCTGTTCCAGTGTTTCACCACCCTCAGAGTAAAGAACTTCCTCCCAGTGACTAATCTGAATTTACCCTGATCGAGTTTAAAACCAGCAGCCATTGTTCTCTTGCTCCACACCCTTATAACCAGTCCTTCCCCAGCTTGTAGGCCCCTTCAGGTACCTCTGCCTGAAGGCTGCCATAAGGTCTTCTCAGAGCCTTCTTTTCTCCAGGCTGAACAGCCCCAACTTAGCCTGGCTTCACAGGAGGAGTTCAGCCCTCTGATCATTTTTGTGGCCTCCTCTGGACCCTTTCTCACGGGTCCAGGTATTTCCTATACTGAGGGCTCCAGGGCTGGACACAGCACTCCAGGTGAGGTTTCCCCAGAGCAGAGGGGCAGAATCATCTCTCTCCATCTGGCGGCCACACTGCTTTTGGTACAGCCCAGGACAGTGTTGGCATTGAGGCTGCAAGCACACACTGGTGGCTTGTGTAGAGCTTTTTGTCCACATATACCCCCAAGTCGCTTTCTGCACAATAACTGAGCTACAGCTGAGGAGTTACATTCTGTATTAGTAAAATCTGCAACTGTTCTTTAAATTATTGCCACTTTTTGAAAGCTTCTTGGGTTTAGATGTCTTTTATAGATGAGATGGTTCATACCTGTCTGAATAGAGCTGTTTTAAGGTGAATCCTATTTTGGCCTGGGGTGATTTCTTAAATATTTTTTTTTTAATTGCTTGTAAAATCTCACTGCCTTGTAAATGCTTGCTATCAGGACATAAGTAAACAGTGATTTTTAATACTGCTCTATGGCTAGGGTCCCTTCCCTAGTTCACACCTAGGGTGCCATTCCCTAGTGTTCTGTTCATTTAATGTTGAAACAGGAACAGTTCCTGAAGGAGAAGGTTAAGGTCAATGGAAAAACTGGGAACTTGGGGAACACCGTTCACATTGAACGTCTGAAGAACAAGATCACAGTGACATCCGAGAAGCAATTTTCTAAAAGGTTGGCACAGTTTTCCTTCTGTTGTGGTTGTGATAGTGGGTTTTGAGCAGTGCTACGTCGAACGTGGTGCTGTTCTGGTACATACAGAGGTGTTGGCTCTATCTTCTGCCGTGCATGTAAATATCAGTGAAAGATGTAATTCAAATACATTTATAATACTGGGTGTTTAAAAAAGTGCAGTTTAAAACTCCAGACTTGATGGCAAATGAATGTTCTAATATAAGCAGAGTAACTCGGAGTGCTGCTTTACAGGCTGTTAGAAGTGTGTCAAGGAGCTGGAGGCGTTTTAAAGTCACACTGACGTCAGGTCATGGGCAGCTGGTTTATTACTTCATTGTTGTATTGAAATGTGTGTGTACATGATAGACGTTGTTACAGAAAAATCCCATGAGTCAAAGGAAGCCTTAAACTGCTCAGTATGTCGGTGCCTGCCACAGATGAGTGTGCTGGTGAGAGGTGCAGTTCCTTCCCTGGTACAGATGCACCAGGAGCTGTTGTCAGACCAAGGTTTAGAACTACTTGGTGCTTTCGTGTTACTGGTGTTACGCTGTGTAGGTGTGGTTTAACCCCAGACAGCAGCAGCTAAACACACAGCCACTCGTTCTGACGAGTGGTATGGAACATTCCTGTGGTATGGAATACTCCTTTTTGGGTCAGCTGTCCTAGCAGTGTCCCCTCCCAACTTCTTGTGCACCTCTTTGTTGGCAGAGCATTAGAAACGGAAAGATTCTGAGCTTGGGATAAGTACTTGGCCACAGCTAAACCTTCATGGTCGTATCAAAGTTATTCCCACACTAAATCCAAATCAGAGCACTGCACCAGTGTCCTGGTTTGGTTAGGGTAGGGTTCATTTGGCTATTAGGAAGAAAATTAACTCTATCCCAGCCAAAAGGAGAGAAAGCATCAAATAATAAATCGGTATATATCTGGAATGAAAATAACCTTTTATTACCTGTTATATATGATAATATTTTTTTTTCTTGGATGAAATTAATGGGTTGTTGCTCTGTTGTTGGTCAGAGTGCAGGCAGCAGTATGGGTTATGAAGTGAAACAGCCCTAACGTGTCATTCCTGGTTTTAAGGTACCTGAAATACCTCACGAAGAAGTACCTGAAGAAGAACAACCTGCGTGACTGGCTGCGTGTGGTGGCCTCCGACAAGGAGACGTACCAGCTCCGCTACTTCCAGATCAGCCAGGACGAGGAGGGCTCGGAGCCCGAGGAGTGACTGCAGCCCAGCTGCCCGCTCAGGGCAGCCTCACACAGCTCCCACTCTCTCTGTGTGTAAGAACGCTTAGCTTACTGGCGAATAAAGATCCTGCACCCTCTTTGACACAAGGCGTGGTTAGTTTTATAGCCTTTTTCTTAAGCTGTCATTAAAAAACAGCACAGGGGATCCTTTGATTGGCAGCTTTCCTTCCATTGCTGGAAATCAGCGCTGTTGACGTGGCATCAAAGTCCAAACAGAAGAGGACTGAAACACACACATTATAGAAGGAATCTCATTTTTCTGTCATTTATGTAACTCGTTAATTGGTTGTAGTTTTCCTGTGTGTAACCACAAGTCTAATTGGAGTGTAACAGATACAGATTTGTTGGCCAGGTTTATATGAGGCTGACAAGAAAGGAGGTAGAGGTGAATCTCACTGCCAGCACCTGGCTAAAACAACTTTCAGGAGGCAGCGAGATGGACTTTGATGTTGACAGTGACCAAATCCCATTAAATCTGTGCAGATGTTTCTTATTTTATGACACTGTTTTCTGTTTCTTGTATTTGGCTTCTGGGGTTATTTCTTTAATACAAGTATTTCTTCAATGCAGGTGGCTCCAGATTCTGTAAACTGCTTCTGCTCTTGTAATACCAAGAGGAATTTGATTAGTTTTCACTGTGAAGAAGTGATATTAGTGAGCCTGCAGCTGCAGTAACTACTGCAGGCAAGTGCATTCTAGTGCCACATTGTGTCAAGCTGGAGTGTACTCTGCCTGTGATTAATCAGAGTATTTGCTCAGGCCCCAGTGCTTTGGTCACCTCTGGAATTAGTAATGCCATGTTTGTTTAATATCATAAACTGCGGATGCATGTAGGCTCTGGTACTAAACTTTACACTTGGACAGATCAGGAAATGAAACAATTTGGCAGGCACAGTTCAGTCTGATCTTGATCTTAATTTTTTTCAATTATCTCAGCATTGCTTTTGCTGGCAACCCCCTGAGACAGACTATTGAGAGAGCTGCCAAAGCACAAAGCAGTGCATTAACAGCCATGTGGCACCCGCTTGTGCTGTGCCTCAATCTAAACGGTAAGCACAGAAGGGGTGATGAGCCCTGGGGTCTCGTTTCATTTTTTGGTGTGCTGCAGCAGCTGTCCTGAAGTGTGGCATGGGGACGTGAAGCAGCACCAGAACAACAGCTGCTTGTGTAATGACCTTGGTGATATGGTTCGTTTTGCTGTTTCAGAGCTAGCAAAAGGAAGGGGGATGGGTGTGTGTCACTGGCTGCAAGGCTGAGGGTCATCTCCCAGCTTGTGTATGTTGGGCTTTAGAGGTTTTGCTGGAAATAACCTAAAAAAACCTGAAGTCCTGACCTAGGAGAATACCAGACTGCTGCCTTGGAATTCCCTGTTGCAGAAAAATCAGCCAGTTTTAAAGCAACACTTCAGGATGTCTGTGTTCTTACTTTCCTGGAAATTCATAAGATGGCTAAAAGCAGTTTGGATATTTGGAGTTAATCCTGTGTTGAAAAACACTGTTTATCCTGCTCAAGCTGCAAATATTTGAAAAACCTCCATTCTGTTTTCTTTGCTGCACTGAAGGGCATGACTAACAGTTGTACTGCAAAATACATCCCACCTGTGTTTTCAGAGCTGTGCTTTTATGTGACAATACATCGTTTACACTGGGCTGACACAACAAAACTGTGCTGATGAAACAGAACAAGCACCACCACAACCGGAGCTAGCAGGATCCTGCTGCCTTGTTACCCTGCCTCGTGAAGCAGGCTGGCAGCTCCGCGTGTGGTTGGGCAGCCTGACAGACACAGATTGTCATTAGTCAAAAGATGGGAAAATAAGGCCTGGGTTTTCAGGCAAACCAACTTAGTTCATAGTTGGGTTTGGAGGAAAACTGCCAAAGTGCCTCGTGGGCTAATTACTCGCTGAGCTTCTCTGCGGTGAAGCTGCAGTCTAAGGAATTCCTTTCCCTGATTATTGAAACCCAGACATTCCAAGTTTCTGTTGGCAGTGTGAGTCTAGAAGGCTTTATAAGTGTAGGAAAATTTTCCTTGTTAGATAGCAGCCAGGCATAGAATCATAGATTCATAGATGGTTGGGAGAGACCTTGTAGATCACTAAGTCCAACTCTTAACCCAACGCTGCCAGGTCACCACTAGCCTATGTCCCTCAGCACCACATCCACATGGCTTTTAAACCCCTCCAGGGATGGGGACTCCACCACTGCCCTCGGCAGCATCTTCCAGGCTTGACAACCCTTTTGGTGAAGAAATATTTCCTCGTGTCCAACCTAAACCTTTCCTGGTGCAACTCGAGGGCTTTTCCTCTTCTGCTCTCTTGTTCCTTGGGAGAAGAGCCTGACCTCCACCTGGCTCCATCCAGTGTCCCATCCAGCTCTCCTCTCCCAGCTCTCGTGGGTGCTTGGTAGCTTTGTGGGCTCAGTTGGGGGGTGGGTG